GGAGCCCCAGCTGGCCTGGATTCGCTATGGAGACCAGGCTGGCCTTGAACTCATAGACATCTGCCTGCCTCTGCTTCCTGAGTGCTGGGATTAAAGGCATGTGCCACCACGCCCGGCTAACTTATTTAGTTTTATCTTATGTGTATGAGTGTTTTGCCTGCATGTCTGTAAGTGCACCATGTTGTATAATGCCTGCAGAGGCCAGAAGAGGGCGTTGGATCCCCTGGAACTGGAGGGAATAGTTGTTAGTTGCCATGTTGGTGCTGAGAACTGAACCTGGGTCTTCTTCAAGAGCAGTCAGTGCTCTTAACTGCTGAACCATCTCTAGCTCCTGGTTTGGTTTTATGAGACCAAGTCTCATGTTCAAGGCCCATGGTGGCTTTGAACTCCCTGTTTAGCCAAGGCCATCCTTGAACTCCTGATCCCCTCCTACTCCATTTCCCAAGTGCTGGGATTACAGGTCTGCACCACCAAACCTGGCATCCTCTGTCAGATTTATGCGATGGGGTCACTTCCTTGCACATGATAACTCTTGAGGGTTTTAGGAAATGTGTGTGTTTGGCGGTGTGGGTTAGTACAACCGCAGACAGCTTTGATTACTGCTAAGGAACTGAGACCTTGAAGGGACACACACACACACACACACACACACAGACACGATGGACAAGGGGGTAGAACAAGAAAAATTATGAGAACCATGTGGGTTCTGGTGTTTGGGGTGAGGGAAGAAGGTATATTTGATTCTTCCCTTTGATTTCAGATTCCATGTGCCTACCAACCAGTTTGGGCACCATTCAGGGAATGCCCCACCCCCAATTTGGCAGGTAGGGTCTTTATTATTGAGACAGGGTCTTTTTGTAGCCACAGCTGGTCTAGAACTCGCTATGTAGACCAAGCTGGTCTTAATCTCAGAAGTTCTGCCTGCCTCTGCCTCCTGATTAAAGGCAAACGTCCTGCACCTGGCTAACAGGCAGGGTCTTTTGGGAGAGGGCAGTCCCTGGACGGTAAGAATTGGGACACTGGGGCTGGCTCAGCAGTTAAGAGCACTGGCTGCTCTTGCAGAAGACCCAGGTTCGATTCCCAGCACCCACATGGTGGCTAACAACCGTCAGTAACTTCAGTTCTAGGGAATCCGATGCCTTCTTCTGACCTCCTCGGGCATTGCACCACACGGGTGCACTTTACATACATGCAGGCAATACAGTTATACACATAAATTAAATATAATAGGTAACATTTTTAAAAGGAATTGGGGCACTGTTGTTCCAAAGGGGAAAGGCCCTCAGATGAAAACTCTCAGGGAGAAATGAAAATTGCAGTAGGGAACCCAAGCCAGCCTCCCAGCCGCAGCCAGCAGTAAAGACCCGGCAGAGCGCCAGGAAGAGAACCAGGCGTGAGCTCCAGGGCTGACCTCAGGGCCAGGGGACTGTGGAGCCTGTGCCGCACCGAACGTGGGACGCAGAAGCCGAGGCGCAGTTGGGCATGGGCGGGCTTCTCGGCCAATCAGCCGCGCGTACCAGCAGCCTTGGCGCAGGGTTCCATTCGGGCATTGCCCAGACCTCCGCTCCCAGTCTAGACCAGCGCAGGGAGGCCAAAGCACCAGCTGGCCCGAGACCCGGCAATGCAGCCGTACTCCCGGGCGCGTGGCCCCAGGCGGCCGGGCGGGGGCCGTTGAGCCGCAGGAAGGGCCGAGGCCGGGTGGGTGGGGCCGGGCGCTCCCGGGTGGAGGCTGCTGCGCCTGCCAGCTCCGAGGGGCGGGGGCGCGGGCCCGACGCGCAGGAGGGGCGGGGGCGGCGGGGAGGGGGACTCGGCTGCGT